CCAAGTGACTTTAATTATTGAACTCAAACAAGTGAAAAGGAGTCCTTGTTTGATCACTGCGGGAGAGCAAAATTCAGCCACGGGGGCCCAAAACAAGCCAGCAGCTGATGAAGACAAATGTGCAAACACGTGTTGGCAGAATTGCTTTTTGGTTGAGCGTGATCGGCTATACGCTCAGGAGGGCAGAAGCTGGACTTGTGATTTATTGTTTTGTGCTGTCCCTGGACCACCACTGTCTGCTGCCTCCCACGTCTGTAATTACCATGTGTGTCTATTAGAATAGTCCTGCTGCCCACAAACGTATCAACTCCTTCAGCTGAGAGAAGAGGAATCACTTCTGCTGTGACCGTCTTGGTATTCAAGCTGAGTTCGACCAAAGAAGAAGGGAGGAGAGTGATGAGACGAGTAAATAAAGAGCAGAAAGAAACAGGCTGAAAGGTTGTGGGGGTGTGGAAACGATGCAAACACATATCAGCCAGTAAATAAAAACAGGCATCTGGATAGTCTGCTTATCAGAAAATCCATTTCCTGTTAATAATACTGTTTATTTTGAACCATATAAAGGTAATTATTAAGGCTTTTACAAACGTCTCCATCTTTTTTTCTTTTTTTATTTTTATTACACCTTAAAGATTTTATCTTAATATCTACCCACCGCTCTATAGTGCGCTTCCACCATGCTGGTAGGTTTTCTTTAGTTTTACTTTGGGCCTTACAGCATCTCCTAGTGGGTAAACTGCTTGAAGGTTTTCAAGTGCCCAAAAACATCTTTGAATAATGAGATGCAGTCAATAAAAGTACGCTGACAAATAATTTATACTTTCTGACGTTGTTTACGAGGTGTTTGTATCGTGAATATTTTTGTATTTTTTTGTGTTCACAGACTTTGACAGAATATTTATTTGTGAATTTTTCCCATTTTTTTCCTAAAATGACCAGATTACTTTGTTTCCTCGTTCAAAAGGGTTTTGTGCCATGTGCATGCCCTTAGACTGATCACCTTTTTCCTTCCCTTGAGAACTCTGGACTGATAATGAGAGCCGGCACTGAGTTCTGGTCAGTGTCATTTATGCTGTAATTGGCCGGGGGCTGTAAAGGGCAGTCTCGCATCAAAGAGCACAGAGAGCTAGGTGGCTTACAGCGACAGAGGTGAGAAAAGAAATCACCTGATGAGGCTTTATGAGCCATTCTTTAAAGAAGCTACTAAAAAAATAGTCATTTAACACAAACTGTGCATTCAACAGTTAAAATCTTGTGAAAACACTTTGAAACAGAGCATTCATTTTCAAATAAACTCATTACGGAACGTTAGAATAGAAAATATTAACATTATTTAAGTAAAAAAAAAAATGAAATGCAACTAAACATTGGAACACCGAATTAATTTATTATTTACTAAGATCTTACTTGTACTTACTTTTCAAATTCAGCATGTTTATTGTAGTTACAGAATATAGATTTATACACATAATTCATCTAAATGATACTCACTACTTGTGCAATAACCTGTCACAGAACCTGTGTAGTTTATGTTATGTGCATTATGTATCATGTGTATTTAAGCTTATATAACTACTGTACCTGTGAAATATTTATTTATTCTAAGTAAGCCTACTTGCACCGTTATATTCTACCATGTTGTTGTTTACTATTTTTCTTTTGGACTTTGTAAAAATTATATTTCTTTTTCGCTTTTTGGTACTTTATTTTGTACTTTTATTGCATTATTGTATTTCTTGTTGTTTTGTTAGCGAGTCAAATCGGTTCTTCTCTTCTTGAACATTTAATTACACTTTGACGTTGTGTGAACCTGCATATGACAAATAAACAATAAACATATTGCCTTAATTCTGTGCTTTTTTTACAGACACAAACTATTTGTTTACTAAAGAAGAAGAAAAGTAGAATGATGAAAAACCCAAAAATAAATAAGTAAAATACTTCTTGCAGAAAAGCTGCATAAATGTCTCAAAAGTCACGTTTTTACATGTAAACACATGTTAAATAAACATGTGAAACACATGCTGTGCAAGTGTTTTTGAGGTTTGGGGATCTTTTTAACATGTTTGTGTGATTCTATGTGGTCACATGATGAAAAACGTGGTACATTTTTGTAGTTTTTCTGTAAAGAAACAAACAGACTCCAAGAATCAATCTGAAAAGCAATGAAAGCTGAAAAAAAAGCTTGCAAACTCCAACCCTGTTACTTTTCTTTACTTCTCATAATAATAATATTAATAATAATAATAAAAGATTGGTTCAAACCAATAGCCTATTGTTGAGTGTAAAATGTAGCTGTGACTCTTGTTTAAATGTTCACACCTCCCTCCACCATCTTGAGAAGGACCTGTATGTGAGAATGCTCTTCGTTGACTACAGCTCAGCATTCAACACCATAATCCCCTCCAAGCTGGTCTCCAAGCTCACCACACTGGGCCTGAAGAAGTCCATCTGTTGCTGGATACTGGACTTCCTCATCAACAGACCACACAGGCAATGAGAATCGGCAGTCACCTCTCCTCCACACTAGTCCTCAGCTCTGGTACACCTCAGAGCTGTGTCCTCAGTCCACTCCTGTACTCTCTCTTCACGCCTGACTGTACTGCAAGGTACAGCTCAAAAGACATCTTCAAGTTCACTGATGACACCATCTTGGGCCTCATCACCAACAATGACGAGAGTGCCTACAGAGACGAGGTGAAATCACTGACCAGCTGGTGTCAGGAAAATAACCTCTCTCCAAATGTCAGCAAAATGAAGGAGATGATAGTGGACTTCAGAAAACAGCACGGAGGCCAGCACTCTGCCATTTATAAACAACGCTGAGGTGGAGCAAGTCAGCCGCTTCAAGTTCCTCGGAGTTCACATTACTGCGGATCTGTCCTGGACTTTACATACAGACACTGTGATCAAGAAAGCCCAACAAAGACTCTACTTCCTAAGAACATTAAAGAAGTTTGGTACGAACACCAGCATCCTCACCAACTTTTATAGTTGCACCATTGAGAGCCTGCTAACAGGCTGCATCACTGGGTGGTATGGGAACTGCACCAGTCAGAGCTGGAAAGCTCTACAGAGGGTGATGCAAACAGCAGAGGACATCACTGGTAGCAGTCTCCACACCATCCAGGACATCTACCACAGCTGATGTCTGCGTAAAGCACACAGCATCATTAAGGACCACACCCACCCAGCACAAGGACTTTTCCATCTATTACCCTCAGGCAGACAATACAGGAGTCTGCCATTGTGCACGAAAAGACTCAAAGACAGTTATTATCCACAAGCTGTCAGATTACTGAACTCTTGATAATAATGAACAATTGACAATAACATTGCAACAAGCCAATCTAGCTGCGCATTTCCACACATCACAGTGTAAACCAAACCACTCCTACTGAGAAGCAGCTCTCCAGTCATTCCTATTCATAACTTTTTTCTACTGCTTACTTTTGCAAACAGCTCCTTACGAATTGAATCACATGCTTACAATCTGACAACAATCATACAGACCAAACGCACTCCTTTAACATTCTTTGCAAACTGAATCACACTCGTTTCCTCAGATATGTGCAGAATTAAACAGTCTTGTCAGTTTTCTTCAGTGCTTTTTGTTTCAGTTGTTGACTCGAGGGTCACGTGGATCATTGCAGTCACACAAACGATGGTGTTGTGGTGATATCACAGCTCATTAGAGAAATAACCACAGCCTCCATTGATCTGTGTGACCACAGGCTGCAGCCATTCAGGCTGAATTTCTCAGTTATTGATTTCTACGGCTTATTAAAGTTATGCGTATCTTACTACACACAGAGATGTGAAAGCAGGATTACCAGGAAATAGAGGTATCGATTGAATCAAAATTCTGAGGCTTACTTTACAAATTCCTAAAGGGGAAGCAGGATTGAAACTATGAACAATTTTTATGTTTGTCTGAGTAAATATTCTGACAAGTCACAAATTTACCTTTTAAATCTTCAGGCATGATTATTGTTATTTGTATGGATATTGATTATTTCTAATCTTCATTAATAAAATCATGTGTTATGATAGAGTTTTTGTTACTTTAGCCACATGTTGTCAGGATAATTATATTTTTGCCCATTTAAATGTATTTGTTTCGTACGTTTGAGTTGTTCATTATGTTGACAGCAGTTCTGGAACATGTTCACCCAAATGAATGATGTAATGCTAAGCGCTTGTTTTTGTCACCAGTACTGAAATTTGCCCAGCATATTTAAAAGTCATATAATTTTTATCCTATTTTATTGTAAATAGTAGTAGACTCTTTTTTCAATCATTACAAAACAACATTTTAGAAGATTGTTATTCTAGTCATAAATTAAGGGTGAATCTAAACCTGGTCTCAAATACTTTATAAGTCAATCTTCTAACAGAAGACAATGGTTTTTCCTAGCTTTATTTTAAAACTTAAAATGCATTTGTTTATAACGTTTAGCCAGTTACCATGTCCAAATAGCATCATAAAATAAATGACAATTTTGGCACAAAAGAAGCTGATTCTATAACTTGAATACTGCAGTTACTGTCCCTATTTCAATAAGCGAGCAAGGTAATAAATAAATGAACCATTCAAAATAAAATTTTATGATTTTTTTTTCCCCCTGAAAATTCACTCATTGACTTTGGTAAATTACGATTTATACATTTGTTTAAATAGAAAGAATTAGATTCTTTTTTGTTTGTTTGTTTAAAACTTGTTTATTTACTCAAGCTGTAACAAAGAAAAAAAATCAAATTAAATTTAAACAAATTGTTGAAATAAACACATTCCTGGTTTTATATTACAATATAATTGCAAGACAATAAATAGACATATAATCTTGGAAATACGCAACTGACTTAATGCAACTATTTGTTTCTTGAATTTATGATAATTTCCAGATACAGTAATAATTTTTTTAACTCTGGTTGTCCAGCAGGGGGCGCCAGTGCTCCGTGTTTCTAAAATATATGTGACGTCACTCCGGAACCAGGAAGAATACAGTCTGATTTTACGACTTCACCTTTAACTGCAGCTAAAACAGCTTGTCAGAGTAGTTCCTCAGTGTTAAGGTAAGTTAATGCTTACATTAGCTGAAGTCTGAAAATATTTTATTCTCATACAAGGGGGAAAAGGGCGACATATGTTTTGTTGATTTGTTTGGAAGCTAACTGGTGCTTGCTAACACAGTCTTGTTTTTAATTGTTCCCCAGTGGTGCAGCGGTTGTTTTCTCCTGGTAAAATGTCTTCCGGCAGAGAAGGGTGCTGGCTGTTTGTTGGAGCTGCAGTGGTGGCCGTGTTGCTGCTGGATGCTGCTGTTTGTGTTCAGGCTAACAAGGTAAAAACAGCAAGTTATACTGTAAATCTGCAGAAACATGGCGCATTGCACTCGTTAATTCTTCTGTCTGTAGTCGATTCTTCCATGTTTCAATCTTAGGACTCTCAGTAACCCATCTTTGTGTTGATTTTTTATTTTCTTTACAATATTTAGGTTATTTTTTTAAACAAGGACTACTACACAGGTGCTTTATGAAAACTTGTTGGGCAAAATTAAAACTTTATTTATGTGCAGTCAGTGTATCTGAGACTTGCCTCTACAAGATCTCGATTTTTATTTTATTGTATTTTTATTTTTCATTCACCCTTTATTTATCCAGGTAGTCTCATTGAGAGACGAGAACTCATTTTCAAGAGAGACCTGTTTGAGGAGCAGATGTGGTTAAGGGCCTTGCTCAAGGGCCCAGAGTGGGGCCAATGAGGGTGGGGGCAGGTGTGGGTGCTTCACCTACCCCACCCACATTTTTGATGTCGATACCCGGGCTTGAACCTGCGATCTTCCAATCACAGGCCCACCTTCTCTAACCTCTGTGCCACCACTCCCATTTTTGTCTTATGTCAGCATCAAAATGTTAGCAGCTTTTAAGGATTCTTTAAGGTTTTGAGGTGTGGCCGATGAAATATGTTACTCAGATTTTATTTATTTACTTACCTTTATTTAATCAGACGAATCCCACTGAGATCACAGATCTCTTTTGCAAGGGAGGCCTGGGCCTGAAGGCAGCCTAATGTTTTTGGACTGTGGGGAAAAAGCACAGTACCTGGAAAAAACCCCGCACAAACATGAGGAGAACATGCAAACTCCACACATAAAGACCCCAGGTCTAAACTGGGGATTGAACCTAGGATCTTACCGGCTGTGAGGCAGCGGTGCTAACCTCTGAGCTGTCCTGCTGTCTAATGATGATGATGATGATGGGTTAGAGAGACTTTGGGGAGTTTAAAATCCAAGTTAGCCTCTTGGACTTTCTTTCAAGTTTCTCTAAGGATTTTTTAAAATCTGCAGTGAGGTACAGTTTTTAGTATTATTCTACTAACCAAGGCCACTTACATCAAGTTCTACTTTTTTCTATTAACAAAATGCTCACAGGCCTGTTGTAGGAACTTTCACTAGTACTGGTAGTTTTTTCTGCTTTATCATCTCACCTCATTTCCTTCTTCCATCCATTTTTTTAAAGTAAGATATTGGATAAGCTTGAGCCCTTTTTTTTTAACCATTACAGAACTTTGAGGATGTTCGCTGCAAGTGCATCTGTCCGCCATACAGAAACTTCAGTGGACACATCTACAACAAAAATGTCACCCAGAAAGATTGGTAAGAGGAACCCTTCACTTAACTCAGTCACACCACAGTCATGAAGTCTTTTCAGGTATTTTTTTGTTTGTTTTATTTGGGATGGTTCTGAGTTAGGTAGCAGCCGTAAGAGCTGTTCAAAAACAGGAGCTTTAGTGCTTCTTTTATTGTCTCATTTAGCATATGTATCATTTGGATATTCCCTCATAAAATAAGAATAATAGAGGTCAGTCCATCTCATCTTTCAGATTATTATTTTCTTCTAACTTGGATTTATTTAAATAAGTCTAAAAACAGGTGAGAGATTTTGAGCAGCTGCAACATCTTTTCCCTTGTATCGTTTTTTCCATTTATAACTAATTATCACACGTTGGTTTGATTTTATATACTAATATGATGTTATTATTGGAAAAGAATTTGGTAAAATTGCATTAGCCAGAATACGTAAAGCACTTTTTTTGTGTGTTTCACTTCCGATGACACGCATGACATTTCTTGATAGGTGTGATTAAAATCATTGTTGTCTTTTCCCAAGTTCTTAGAAAATGTTCTTATCATTTGTCCTTTGTGTTTTCCAATAAGGTCGAGGGAAAAATAACATTTAGTGTTATTTTAATGTACTATTTACTCACGTCAGTGTTTTATTTTGTGAACAACAAAGCAGTCAAACTGCATGAGCTCTGTATGAGTTTTGCCTTGCCTTACTTTATGTGTGTGTGTTCTCTGTGTGTTCGGGTAACATGACTTTCTGATCTGTTTACAGCACTTGCCTCCATGTGGTGGAGCCCATGCCGGTTCCTGGCCATGATGTAGAGGCTTACTGTTTGCTCTGTGAGTGCAAGTATGAGGAGCGGAGCAGCACCACCATAAAGGTCCAACTAGCTTTCCTTAGTTTTTTTTTCTGTTTATCTTTGTCTTTATTATTCATTGAAGCAGTGAATCCAGCTGGAAGTTTTGATGATGAAATTGAGGTGTGTAACTTTAAATTATGTCCTTCCAGGTAACTATCATCATCTACCTAGCTGTTGTGGGGGCGCTGCTTCTCTACATGCTGTTTCTGCTTCTGGTTGATCCTCTCATTCGCAAACACGACCCCTACACTCAGCCTCTGCACAACGAGGAAGACTCCGAGGTGACCCTCCCAACAGACGGCTCATTTAAAACACATGCATCTGTTGCAGTTGTTAGTAATATCAAACTCTGGGTTAAACATGAACTTGATTTGAAATGTGTTCAGGAGATGCGTCCACGTGCAGAGAGTGGGCCGGCCAGAGGAAACACAGTCCTGGAGCGGGTGGAAGGTGCACAGCAGCGCTGGAAGAAGCAGGTGCAGGAACAACGCAAGACTGTTTTTGACCGCCACAAGTTGTTAAGTTAAACTTTTCTGAAGCAGATTTGGTGTATTTGATTCTTTCTGGGCTCAGTGCTCGTTCACTCTCACCAGCTGCACCATTATATACCTGGCTGTCCCTGATGTGCGCTGACTCCTTACATTCAAGCTTTATTTATACAGGTTAGTCTCACTGCGTCACAAGGACTCATTTACAAGAGAGACCTGTTTTAGACAGACAACATGTAAAGTACAGGCAACAATATACAACAACCAAAAAAAAAAAAAAAGCAATAAAATAATATTACTCCATTCATGTTTCCTCACATTAAAACATTTCAACACACTTGTCTCACAATTCAATTAAAAAAATGCAAACTTATAAGACAAGATAAGATGCAACTGTGGAAAAAATGCACACACTTGATGAATTTTAGGAATTGCACTGCTGCAGTTTAGGGATGTCCTTTTTAAAATTAACGTGTGTTCGATTGTAAGTGTCTTTATCCTCTGTGCATGATTCACAGCGTTACCTCAGAGGTTTGGACCACACTGGGTTGGATCACATTAGCTTGCTTAAATGATTGTCAGTCGTTCTCTGTTTGCTGGTTTAGCTGTAGTCATTTATTGCTGTATAAACTCAGGCATATTCAGCATTTGCACTATTTATCGTTCATTTTGGAGTTATTCATTTAAGCCTTTCGTCATTGCTAATTTGAACCTAAAACTGTGCCTTTTTCCTGCTCTCTCGTCCTCTTTGTGAGATGTATTTCACCAAACTACAAATAAGATGCTTCACTGAATTATTAGCATTTTACAGCTTTCAACGTGTAACAGATGGTGCAGGCAACCAAGGAATTTGATCTTTTAATTAGTATGCCTGTATTAGTATAAAACTGTTTATGTGAAATTTATTAGCAGAGGGGTTTATTTAATAGTGGATTACATGACCACATTTCTGTTCTCCATTTTTTTTTTTTTTGCTCTTTAAATTGATAGAATATACTTTACATATAAAGAGATGAATGGAAAATAGCACTTCAGAACCATCTTGTGTTGGCTGTAATTATTTTACTTAACGTTTATGTTTTTAGTTGTTAATTTAGTTTTTTCTAAAACTGCTGTTGTATTATTTTAAGGAACTGCAGAAAATATTGTTAAGCTTGACAACTAGAGTGAAGAAAATCAGTTGATTTTAATTGTTTCTGCAAACAGATTTGTTGGTTTGGTTTGAATCACTTGATCAATTTGTACTTTAGCGATTAGTCGTCAAATTTCACTTTCACACCTACAGGTGCTGCTGCGTTAGACGGCAGTACTCCATCATTATAACACCATATAATATATGGAGGAATGTTATCCACAGTTTAAGATACTTGAAGTTGAAGCTGTTCTGCTCCTACACCTTACCAATGTGTTTTTTTTTTTTCTTCTTTAAATGTTTCACACATTTGTTTATTTTTCTCTAGCCTCAATGGAGGAATTGCCTGACTGTGTTTGAATCTTTAGATTGAAGTGAAATAAATTTTAAAAGTTTAAAATGCTTTGGAATTTATTTCATGTTTATTTGGCTGTTGTTGTTGTTTTTCCTGTGGGACATTTTATTGACACTAGGGGGCGACAGAGTACAGAATAAAAAAATAATCTGTTCTACTGCAGGAAGAATCATTCATTTTAGTTTTATATTAAATATAATTTCCAGCTTTTTGGAAAAAAAGATGTCAAACCTGTTTAAAAACATTTTTTATTATACCTTATTATCTTGTGTTATAAACATCATATAAGCAATTTGAGAGATTGTAGTGCAGTAATACATTTTCTTTGCAGTTAAAATGTTACTGAAGGTTTTTATGTTAATGTGTTTTGTAATGTATTCTTTTTTCCACAAGTTTTTACACTAGTCTAGTTTTGATTGCTTAGGACAATAACTAAAAATATGTGACTGCTACTTAAGTAAACTAAGTAAATCCAAAAAAAAGTTAAAAAACAAAATGGCTGGACTTTATTTGTAACTGAAGACGATAAAACAAGGAGTGTGGGATTCAAGTTATAAAGTGTGGTGTTCTGTAAGCCCCTCAGAGTGGCCTCTCTGTGGCTGGGACTAACGAAGACCCTAACGATCCTCTATTGTGAAGCGTGAGGGGTCAGTCTGCGTTATTCAAGCTAACACTTCAACAAGCGAACAAAGCTCCTTGGATGAGAAGTGAAACGTCTTCAGTTACAAATAAAGTCCACTTGATTCTTTTAAAACTTTTTAAAATTTATTTACCTTGTCCTGGATGTCTGAGAGTCTTCACCAGTGTAAACTAAGTAAAATAAATATCCTGATGCATGCTCGGGTAACGTAATACTAAGTAAACTGCTACAACGTTGCTGAACTGTATCAGACAGCTCTAACTTTTTTAGCACAAACGATTTGGTGAAAAAGCTCTTCGTTATTTATTATCTGCAAAGTTTTTAGGTCTATATTCTGATTTATCTCATTTTGTATTTTGCTTTGTGTGTTGCCTGTTGTTCTGTCTGTACAGCACTTTGGTTGGCCTTGTTGCTGTTTTAAGTGCTCTATAAATAAAATGGTATGGTGTGTAATCACTGAGAAGTTATGGATGGATGGAGAGTATTAATCCTTTGCAGGAAATTACAGGTGAGTAATTAAGTATAATAAGTAAAAGTTTATGATTAAATACTGGATGAGTGAGTGATCACTCTGTTCTTCAGTAAGAGATGTTTCCACCTCTAGAAAGATCTCCCTCTGTTTTTGTTTGCGTTTTGGGGATCAGCTTCAGGGTCCTGGAGTGTTTACCTGCAGTAGGACCCTCTCAAAGACGAGGTCGCTCCCCTTCTTTTTGCTTTCGCCCGTCTCTGCTGCCCCTCCTTCCACTCTGCCCTCTAAACCATCCCCAAGCATGGCCTGCCAGTTTTTCACAATCTAAATTTAAACTGCTGCCGAGCCAACTGCTCGTCTCTCCAGCCACTTCGGGCCTCTGTTATTTTTCTCTGCTGGGGTGAGCTTTCCCCTGTCAGAGGCCCTCAGCCGGGGGGAGAGGTCTGTGGCTCTGAGAGGGGGAGACCGAGAAGAGGGCAGCGGGGGAGCCCGCACTGATCTGGAGCCTGCAGGCCTTCACGGAGCCAAGTTCTACACCGCACCAGAGTTTGGGATTTTACATCAAGAGGTCGTGTTATTCTGGAATTGTGAATCTGTAAAGTGAAGGCATCAGGATGGCGGCTAACGCGGAGGGGACGAAGTCGTTCATCATGAACGAGGAGGAACTGAAAAGGAAGCAGAGGGAGAAGCTCAAGAAGCTGCAGGCCACAGGGGGCAACCCTCGCCCTGCCAGATCACTCTTCTTCTTCACGCTGAAAAATCCTTTCCGTAAGGCCTGCATCAACATTGTGGAATGGAAGTATCCTTCATAGCATGCACCTTACACAAACTACTCAAGTTCCTCGGGTTTCAAGAGGTGACGTGTGACAGTTTCTCACATTTAAACCGCTACGACTTGTTTTAGTGCTCTGATTAAGATCAGTGACAGCCATAATACACAGAGTGTAGGGGCTGACTCAGTGATGATCCATGATGATCATGAGCATCATGAAGGTTTTTTCAAATCTGAGATAACGATCACTGAAGTGTACAGACTTCTGTAACCTTTCAGGCTCGTATCAATATGTGTTGCTCTTTGCTTCCTCTTGAGTTCCCTTTGGAACAAATGGTACTAATCTGTTCATATCAGCCAGACAGAAAGTGAAACAGTCGCCTAGATGTTCTCCTGAACAGCTCATATTCTGCCTTTTTATGTGAAATCATCAACTCTGAATCCATATTATCTGAAGACTTGTGAGCCAAACAGAAGAGTTTCTGCTGTCCAGTCCTGGACTGTGCATGTTTTCTGTGAAAACTAAGTGTTTCCATCTTCAGTGTTTTAAATTATTAGTGTATGAACATAAAGTATAACTTTAAAAGTGACATTTTGTGAGTCAGCGTCACAAAACAAGGATTATGTTTTCCATATTCACTTAAATTCATTACACATACTTTGCTCACTGTCAAAATTGTTTGCATTATTTTGGAAAAAATAAAATAAAATAAAGTTTGCATGCTGTAAAGAGAGCAACATGTATGTAGTAAATGGAGAAAAGCTACTGGTGCTCAACAATCTTAACATTAACAGAGTTGTGGAGTGGACAAACATCTAAGAGCCTATCAGGCATTTTCCCCACGATGAGTCGTCTGTGTTTAAATGGTCTGTCATATTCTTGAACCGTGCAGCTGTCCCACAACATCATCCAGGACATGATGCTGACCTGGCAGGGGAATTTTCTTGGAGAGCCCCCTATGGATGAGAATGAGGCAGCACAGCAGACAGGATTACAGATGCCAGCCCATGGGCTGCTTTAGGGATGATGTTTCAGGCAGTATTTAAAGCCGGTGATCAGCACTGCTGGCCCATTTTATAAGTTTAAAAAAATCTTTCACTGTCAGCCATTATCAAAAAGTATTTTCACTGAAACTTTACCCACTGTGTTATATTATGAACTGGCATATGTTGGTATGATCCTTAACTTTCCCACCCAGAACATTTGAAATCATCATCTTACTGACCATCTTTGCTAACTGTATTGCACTCGCTGTGTTCCTGCCAATGCCTGAAGACGACAGCAATAACACAAACGCAAATTTGGTAAGTTGAACATACAGTAAACAAAATTTATAACAATGGCAAATTAAAAAGTCATATCAGTTTCCTAGAGAGTTACAGCTTTGAACCTGTTTGCTTTGATATTAAATGACTACGGGCTTCAGCTGCCCTTTGGCCTGAGTGCCAAGCCCCATTTAAATCTCTAAATACAACTCAGTTCTTTTATAGGAGTCCCATCTGTGTCTGCAGGGGAACAGTCGTCCAACAGGTGGATGGAAAAGTTCACTGCATTAGTATGCAGTAACAGGAAGTTATAAAAATAGTTGCTTATTAATGTTATTATAGATGTGCTTGGAAATATAAGCACATTTTTTATCATCCAGGACAGTATTAAGACTGTTTAGAAGTGAGACTGCTGATGTGTTTCCAAAAATATTGTATTTTCAAGTATCACAATTCAATTCATTTCTATAGCGCCAAGTCACAACAGAAGTCATCTCAGGGCAATGAACAGAAATGTTCATATATGTAAATAATTTAACATTATTTATCTTAGGAGCAGACTGCTTTGAGTTTAACTCCATC